TGCCATGGTCATGGTGTCTCTTCACAGCAACCTAAGACAATACCATTCAAGATTCCAAATGATGGAGGCAACCAACAGCCCTACCTATCTATGACATCTCTGAATCAAAACAACCAGCATGGCATGATAACTATAATGGTGCAATAATGTTGTGCATACCGTGTACCTTAGCACTAACCAACAGGAATTAAGACATGCTCAATAAGAAGGAAACCATGCCTGGCACTAGAAACATAGCCAATCACCCAGGGGTAGTGAAATCATAGATCTTGGAAAACTTTTAACTGTCATTTCACTAAACTAGCATAATCCTAACTACCTTCTAAATATCTGTCCGTATGCTTACAGAAACAGTAGGTCTCATGCTCCACCAAGTAAATCTCTCTTTGCGACAGACAGGGACCATTACATAAAATCAAAATGGAATTGTGGAGCCCAGTGCCAACTACAACACAATGCCTGTACCTAAGATTCAGGGATCACTGTGGAAGAGGGGGCAGGAAGATTGCAAAAGCCAGAGAAACAATGAATTTGCTATTATTTTTCCTAGCAATGTCAAAAGCTGTCACCAACATGGCTGTCATGTTGACAATACCAAGTGTGGTAGTTTAAATGTAATTGGGCCCCATAAGCTCATAGGGAGTGGCGCTATTAGGAGGGTGGCTTTGTTGGAGTGGGTATGGTGCTACTGAAGAAAGTGTGTCACTGTGGGGGTAGGCACTGAGGTTTCCTATGCTCAGAATATGCCCAGTATCTCAGCTGACTTCCTGTTGCCTGCTACTTCTCCAGCACCATGTCTGCCCGTACAATGCCATGCTATGCTCCCCACCATGATGATAATGGACTGAACCTCTAAAACTTAAATGAGCTACCCTAATTAATTTTTTTTTTCATTTCTAAGAGTTGCCATGGTCATGGTGTGTCTTCACAGCAATAAAAACCCTAACATAGAAGTTGGTACCAAAACTGGGGTATTGCTGTGATAGGCCTGATCGTGTTCTTGTTTGGAGGAATCTGGGCTTTGGTACTTTGGGTTAGGAAAGCAGTGGAATGAATGCTTTAAGTGTGGCTTAATAGGTCATACTAGTAAGAATATGGAAGACAGTGGTGCTGAATGTGATTTGATCAACTATGAGGATCAAGAGGTTTCAGAGAAGAATGTTAGTATGTGGCCTGGAGACTAATTTTGTGATGCTTTGGTGAAGAAAGTGGCTGCTTTTTGCCCTTGTTTGAAGAGTCTGCCTGAGGCTAAAGTTGGCAGAGGAAATCTCAGAACAACAGTGTAGACTCTGTTGTGTGGTTGTTAATGTTAACTCTGATAAAGATTTATGATGAAAAGGAGCAAGCTGAGCAAGGGAAAATATTTGAGGAGAAAAAGAGCACCAGAAAGTGGAATAGAGCTAAACTCCGTGTTCAAGGAGATAAATGGATTAAAAGATGGAATAAAGGGAGTGGTGACCTCAGGGTAAGATCCTACCCAGCTAAGTTTCCGACCTGTGAAAAGGAATTAAAGACAAGGTTATTAGAGTTGGGTGTGATGGTGCACATACTAGAAAGGCAGGGGCTGTCAGATCTCTGAGTTTGAGGCCAGTCTGGTCTACAGAGCACGTTTTAGGACAGCGAAGCATAGGCAGTGGGAAACAAAGTTGGTAAAGATGTAATTGAACAAGGGGACCTGTTCCAGCCCCAGCAAGCAGCAGAACTTGGCAGCTTCGGCTACATGGTTCTGGTTTTAGAGTTAAGGATAGAAGAAACAGGTTACAGAATTTCCCCCTGTGCCTAAGGAAAGCCACTGAGGCCAGGCATGTGTCAGGGATGTCCCTGAATGAAGGACTTGAAAAGCCACTGCATAAAGCAGAGGTGAACCCTGGATTACCTTGGAGACTCCAAGATGTTAGACACGCCAGAGTCACGGGATACCTGCCTAGGAGAGCTGCTAACAGGGAGGGGAAGCAGCCCAAGAGGAAGAAGTGTGTTGCAGTCAACAAAGCTGAATGGAGTTGGAAAGCTGAAGACTGTTTTAACATCAGACATGGAGATACAAAGTTTGGAGTTGCCCAGCTGGTTTTCGGTCTTGCTTTGGTTTAGTAATTCCTCACTATGATCCCTTCCCTATGTTTTGGAATGGTATTGTATATTCTGTGCCATTTATGTTAGAAGAATGTGATCTGTTTATTTTGATTTTTATAGGGAATTATAGTTATGGGATCACATGAATTTCAGAAGAGACTTTGAACTTTAAACACTATTGAGCCTGTGATAGACTATGGGGACTTTTGAAGTTGAACTAAATGTATTTTGCATTATGATATTGTTACAAGCTTATAGGGGTCAGGGAGTGGAATGTGGTAATTTGAATGTAATTGGCCCCCATAAGATCATAGGAAGTGGCACTATTAGGAGGTATGGCCTTGTTGGAAGAAATGTGTCACTATAGGAGCAAGCTTTGAGGCTTCCTATGTTCAGGTATGATACGACCCAATGTGTTAGTTGATTTCCTGTTGCCTATAAGACATATAATTCTTAGCTACTTCTCCAGCATCATGTCTGCCTACATGCCACCCATGTTCCCTTCCATGATGACAATGGACTGAACCTATGAAACTGTAAGTAAGCCACCCCAATTAAATGTTTTCTTTTATAAGAGTTGGTATGGTCATGGTGTCTCCTTCACAGCAATAGAAACCCTAAAACGCCAAGTGTCCCTTCATAATTTGTCCTTAGCAATCACTGGTATCTATTGTCTCTGTTTTTCTGCCTTTCTCAGAATATCATAAAAATGTAAGCACACAGAAGGTACTCCTGAATCTTAGCATAAGCAGTGGAAACTATGGCCAGTTGCCTATTTTTGTAATGGCTCATATGCAAAGAATGACTTTATTTTATTTTTTATTTTGAGATAGTGTCTCATTAGGTAGCCTTGGCTGGCCTCAAACTCAGTGATCAACTGCCTCTGCCTCCCACGTCCTGGGATTAAAGGTATGCACCACCATGCCCAGCAAGAATGATTTCTAAAAATTAAGAGGGGAAAAACCGAAAAAGGATAATACTTCATGATTGGAAAGTATATGAAGTTCAAATCCAATGTCCATAAGTGACATTCTATTGAGACACAGGTACACTCATTTGTAGACCTGCATGTAGAAAGCATGTTACAGACACGGTTACAGTTATGAGAGGACATATGGCTTGCAGTACCTAAAATATTTACTGTCTAGCCCATATGGATAAAGTATGGTATAAAAGTAAACATATTCACAATCCAATGATTCTTCTGGGTATTTATCCAAGAAAACCTAAAATCTGTACACAAATGTTTATGGTGGCTTTGGTCGTAATTGCCTACAACTGAAAACACTGAAATCCCTCTACTGGTCAATAAATAAACTGTGGTATAACCCTCACACTGGAATATTATTGAACAAACAAAAGAAGGAACTACTGACTCAAGCAACAAAGATCAATCTCAAATGCCTTATGCTAAGCCAGCATCAAACTTGTTCTACATAAAATCAGATAGTAAATATAACCAAATAAGCATCTAGGCTCCTATTTTTAAAAAGGATCTACTTTATCTTTAATTGTAATTGTGTGAGTATGAACATGCCCATAAAAGGGCAGAGACTTTTGATTCTGTGGAACTGAAGTTACAGGAAGTTATGAACAGGCAGTCTGTTAATATATAGTATAAGATGGCCATTACACTAACATGAAACTGTTTAAGTCACAGAAAATTCAGAAAGTTCGGAGGGCCCCTGAGAAAGTCAATCTTCATTATGCCTGGGCCTGCAATTCAAAAGTGCTTGATTTATTTGCAGCCTCTGCTCCTACTTCCTTAAACCTTCCCTTTTCTGAGCCCTCACCGCCCCCCTCCCCCCAGGACGAAGGTAGACTTGGACAGAAGCCCTCCATCTTTACATTAAGCTGACTTTCAGAATAAAAAGTCATCATTCTGACTAGGGATGGTGGCATATGTCTACATTCCAACATTCTGTAAGTTCAGCTCTGAGAAGACTGGGATGAAAAGATCATGAATTCAAAGCCAAACTGGGCCACACTTTGAGTTCACTGTCTGTCTCAAAACAAAGCAAGTGCCTTGCCATTATTCCCAACACTCTCGGGGCAGAAGCAGGCAGATCTCTGTGAATTCAAGGCCAACTTGGTCTAGATAGCAAGTTCCAGGCCAACCTGGGCTACACAGTGAGATGCTGTCTCAAAAGATAAGCAACCCAAAAATATTGCTGCCTTTAGTTTGATGCCTTTATCTTTCAACTAAACTGGCTTGTCCTACAGAAAGCAGCCCAGAACATTTCACCCTGTTCTCAACCTATTCTTCAGCCTTCCCTTTGGCCCTATGAGTTTCACATGCTTTACTACATTCCCTTTTCACCTAAGTCAGAGCATATTCCATCTGTTCACAAAAAAAAAAAAAAAAAAAAAAAAAAAACAAACACACACACACACACACACACACACACAAAAAAAAAAAAAAAAAAAACTGGACTGAGAGCAGGCCTGATGACCTTACTTCAATCCCTGAAACCCACAGGGTCAAAGGAGGAAACTAAGTTGTCCTCTGACCTCAATAAATGTACACATGTATGATCACTCACACGTGCACACAAAATAAATAAATAAATGTAAAAAATATTTTTAGAGAAACTGATTAAGCAAATTTTGCATATTCTGGAAGAATTTGAATAGTGTTTAGATTTGGTATCTATTATATAAATAAAAATTATGAAAACAGGGCCTGACTTAGCGGCACACATTTTAATCCTAGCACTGGAGGGGGAGGGAGGTAGGGAACTCTGTTGAGTTCAAAGCTAGCCTGGTCTACATAGAGTTCCAGGACAGCCAGGACTACATAAAAGATTCTGTCTCAAAAAAAAAAAAAAAAAAAAAAAAAAAAAAGGATTGCTAAGATACTATTTCAGACACACAAATAGGCTTGTTATCCTATCATCACAAAACAAAATGCAGCTTATCATATGGAATACCTGTGGCCCAATAGTAAATATCCCAGTCATTGCTAGGCTCATTAATCAGGCGATCGTAGAGGTTCAGCTGCTTCTCTGTCATGTTGTGCAGATATTCTTTAGCAAAGAGGCTGAAAATTAAAAGGAAAATGAGGTTGACAAGACTGCCTTGTCAAAGAGAAGTTAACATCCAGAGCCCTTTTTCCCATTACCTCAGGAGAATGCAGTTCTCCAGCATCCCCCTCTTTCTGCTCTCATAGAGTAGGCGGGCTCTTTTGGTTTCTATGGATTCATCAGTTCTTTCCTGCCATGGAGGCAAAGGGATTTCAATCATGTCTTTTTGAGAATCTGTTGGGCTGCCACCTCTGTAGAATCGTCTGAATGATGTCACACTGAACAAAGGAGACAGCAGGCTGTGCTTTGACAGTACCTGAAACAAACAAACCACACACATCTTTATAAGACAATGATTACTATCACTGCTATTTATTCAACACATAAGACGCATCAGATCTCACTCAGTCCTTCTGCTGATTTTGATCCCTTTATAGTAAACAGAAACCAATGAATCTAAGGTTTAAAGGGGATAGTCACTGAAATAGAACCACAAACGCATATTCATAAGTTGGGCAACACCTCACTCTACAAGACAGAATGAGTATTCCAGGTGTACTGTTAACCAATCTTTCCAGAAATTACCCTAGCAGAAACACATCTCCTTTTGCATTCCTTTAAAACTGTACAATACAGTTGTGTTCCAGTTACTCACCTGTTAAACCCAGAGGATACCTAGATCTCCTAAAAACTACAAACCTAAGAAGGACATAAAACTCTAAGATATAATGAAAAGGGCTGGATGGTGGCTCAGTAAGTAAAGCGCTTGCTATGCAAGCATGAGGACCTGAGTGAAGAACTACATAAGAGCCAAGCATGGCCAGGAATGACACCCTACATCTGTGACCCCAGCACAAGTGGATCCTAGAGGCTCATTTCATTGGTCAGGGAGTCTAGCCAAAACAGAGAGATACTGTCTCAGGAAATAAAGTGAAAATAGAGGAAGACACCTGAAGTTAACTCCTGGTCTCCATACAAGCACTTCCCTCCCTCCCTCCCCTTCCCTCTCTCACATACATACAAGCATATATCACACACAGTTTTTAATAGGAAGGCCTACATCTTCCTTGCCACCAAACCCTTACAATGAAGATAATGACTCAACAATTCAAAGATCTATTCCCTCTATGAGAAGTTGGGAAAACAGGATCTTGCTCCCCAAATAAGTACAAAATCAGTTGCCTATTGGAAGGCTGTGGACTGCACGTGCCACAATCCTGCTTTCCCCAACCCCCACCCCCACCCCCACCCCACAACCATCACCCAAGCACAAAATGATGAGGAGAATATTCCAGCACCAGGCTTCTACCTGGGAGGGAAAGGTAAGACTCCTAGAAGGTCACCTGGTTGAAAGCTGAGGCAAACAAAGGTGATGGTTAGCATCAGCAGCATTCACTTGCCATGGTCCCCACTTCTGCCTTACTGAAGAATGAAAAGAAAAAAAAAATCATAACTCCCAGCTTTTCCTGGGGAAACAGAGTTGGGGTGTCCATCTAATGATCCAGTATCTCAGGGGCTGCCTCTAGAGGCTAGTTTTTGTCTCTCTTGCCTCAGAGCAACAACAGGACACAACCCATTCCAGACACTTAAGGACCATGAGGACCAAGAAGGCTGAGAGGCTTACTTTTAGTACAGAGGAAACTTTACATGGTAGACAAAAATCTAATATCGTTTAGGAGCTTCTTTCCCAGGGCTCAGGGAATAGTGTATGGTTACTGTTCTGGAGCATGGGGTTGGCATTGTCTAAGGGACTGGTGGTTTCTGTTTTGAACAACTTGCAACACTAATACAGCCAGCATATTGTAGAAGTCCTGCAGCCACTGAGGATAAGAGAGCAGAGTAACTAGCTAGGGCATGGTGCCTCATGTCTGCAATCCCAGCACTTGAGAGGCTACAGCAGGGCTACTATGAAACCAAAGGGCTACAGTACCAGATAAACAGAGGGAGGCAAAGATGGGGGAAGGGGACTCTGGACAATTTACAGTGGTTACAATGAAACTATAGCATCACCGACACTAGGGAAGCTACTGATTATGAACTGATAAGGAAGGTAAAGGTGCTTGAGAACCTGAGTTCTATCCCCAAAACACATGCACAGAGAAGAAAGACAGACACATACACACATACAGAGACAGAAACACACACACCATCTTTAAAGAAAAAAAAAAAAAAAAAAAAAAAAAAAAGGATGACTGAAACTTCCAAAATTTGGAAAAAGAAATGGCCATTCAGATTTAAGATGCTCAAGAGACCTCAAGTATCATGAACCTGAGGAACCTAAGGAAGTCCACACCAAGGCATAAATTGCCCAGCAAGTCAGAAATGTGTGTGTAAAAGAAGGACTATGTGAGGGCGCAATGGAAAAGTATATCTGTAAGCCATGGAGTGAGACTATGAGGGAGAATGACTGTGATACCATCTTCACCCTAGACTCCCAGTCTCCAGAACTCTGGGAACAGAAGTTTCTGTTGTAAGGCAGCTCCAGTAAATGAATACAGCATGCCGTGAAAGCTCAGTTTCCTAAGCCACAGCCTAAGTATTATGGACCAGCATCTCTGGGAAAAGGCACTTGAAAATGCATTTTAGGGGCTGGAGAGATGGTTCAGCGGTCATGAGCACTGAATGCTCTTCCAGAGGTGCTGAATTTAATTCCCAACAATCACTCACAACCATCTACAGTGGGATCTGATGCCCTCTTTTGGCATAAAGTTGTACGTCTATATAGAGCACTCATATACATGTTTTAAAAAAAAGGAAATGCATTAAAAATTTTTGTTTGTAAACATGGGTGTATATGTAGACATCAGAGAAATAGCTCAGGTGTCAGTCCTCAACTTCCACCTTGTTTTGAGGCAGGTTCTTTGTTGTTCTCTACTGTGTATGTCAGTCTAGCTGGCCTGTGAGCTTCCAGGGATTTTCTTGTCTCTACCTCCCATCCCATCATAGTGGCACACCAGGCTGGCCTTGAACTTACTAAAGAACCAAAGATGATGACCTTAGATTTCCCATCCTCCTGCCACCAGCTTCAGAGTGCTAAAATTACAGGCACATGCCACTCACTACACTCTGTTGTATGTGACACTAGGGACCAAACCCAGGGCTTTCATGAATGACAGGTTTATAGCAATTTCCTCCAGGATAAAACCTTCAATTTTGAAGGGAAGTTCATTAAAACACAGGATTATGTTGTTGTTGTTACTGGTGTTATTATTCATTATGTAGCCCTAGCTGGCCTGGAACTTGACAGATACATCAAGTTAGTCTTGAACTCAAGAGGCCCTACAGTCTCTGCCTTATGCTACCACACCCAACCAAGACACAGAATGTTCTAAAGAAAGGTAATATAGCCCATTCTACAGTGATGCTCCTTAAGCTCAGGAAGTAAACAACTGAAAGCCTCCAGGAAGACTCTAACCCTAACCAGATACTAACACTAACAAGGCCACTCCCTCCACACATATGACTTCAGCTCCAGGGGATCCAACACCCTTTTCAATGTCAGTGGATAGCTATACTAACAAGTGTATGTGAGTAAATGTACTACACACACACACCCTTAAAAAAAATCTTCAAAAAAAGTATACTCTATAGCATCTACACCCTGAACATAAGAAATAAAGCTTCTGTACGCAGTTAAAATTATCAATTTAAAATACCACAAAGAAAATTCCTGTAAAGGAACTCTAAAGAAAATGAGATTGCTGGGGCTAGAGATAGCTCTGCAGTTAAGAGCATTTACTGTTCTTAAATAGGACTAGGGTTCAGTTCCAACACCCACAGCAGGTGGCTCATACCCACCTGTAACTCCAATTCTAGAAACTCCAACAACCTCTTCTGGCCTTCATGGGCACCTACACACACAGTAAAACATAAACTCATGAAACACACTCATATGTACACATATGTACATTTTTTTTTAACCTTTTTGGTTTTTGTTTCTTTTCTGAGACAGGGTTTCTCTGTGTAGCTTTGGAGCCTGTCCTGGAACTCCCTCTGCAGACCAGGCTGATCTCAACTCCCAGAGATCCGCCTGCCTCTGCCTCCCAAGCGCTGGGATTAAAGACGTGTGCCACTAACGCCGGGCTATATTTTTTTAATCTTAAAAATTAAGAAAGAAAAGAAAATGAAATTCCTTAGCATGCCAAGGCCCTGGATTGGGGGCTTAGCACAAAAAACAAAACTGTCAGATGAAATAAAGAACATTATATAGTATTAAGAAGAGTTAGTAGGAAGATATAGCATTCATAACTAATATTAGAGAACTCAAATATATGAAACAGACACTGAGAACTGAGAGATTTCAATGCTACACTTTCAATACAGTCCCACCCAGGTGGGACTGAGTCGGGGGTTTCAGTACTAGACAACTAGACCACTATAAGCTAAGTTTATCTAATATTAAGACCAACTATAAGGGGGTTGAAGTCACTGAAGACTTTAAGAATAGGAGCTAGAAGTGGGCTTTTGGAGGAGGTTCGGTAACTGTGCCTGGGGACTTAGTAAGATCTGAGATGTCTCGCACGATGACTAACCACTTAACCACATGTTACCAAGTACTCTCACTCGAGCACACCATGGGCTCAGCAAGAATGAGAAATGACCTGCATGTCCAGCGCCTGCGTGTGCCTTGCCTTGAGGGGATCTTTCCCTGGGCTGTGGGGTAATTGAACAGTCTCCACGACAAGGAGGAGGACGAAAGTGTCCTAGCTGCTGCCCGCCCCGAACCTTAAATCTTCGGCTCTCTCACCCGCGACAGCGTCGGGATCAAGGTGACCACCGCCATTTCTCCCCACAGCACCGGAAGCTGGCCACGGGGCCACTTCCGGGAACTCCCGGCGGTCTATCTGCGAACTTCACGAGTGGAGGTGGACCTCTCCAGTGGAGCTGGAGCTCAAGCCGGAAGGCGCGTCCCAGCGTATGGCGGAAGTAGCGGTGCGTGTGACGCCGCCGGCGGGGGGGGCGGGTCCTGGGGCGGAGAGCGGTTCGCGCGCTTCGGGCCTAGTCGGGACTCTCCGCGGCCGCCGCCATATTCCCGGTAACGGGGGCGCGCGGCCGGGGACCGGCGGGGCCGGAAGGAGGGCCGGGGCTGGCGCCGCGGCGGGGAGGGGGTCGGTTGAGGTGGCGGCGGAAGACGGCGGGTGGAGGGAAGCGCGGGCCTCTGAGGGAGGGGCTGTGGTCCTGGAGCTGTGGGAGGGAACAGGGTAGGCCTAGCCGAGGGCGAGGACCGGGCCCGGTTGGAGTGGAGACGGCGGTAGCTTCCGGGCCCGCGGGGGACTCCGGCTTGGGCCGCCCCCTGGCAGGTGCGGCGGGCTGAGCTTGCGGCCTCCGCCGCGATGGTTCTTCACATCGCGGCCCCCTCGGGGCCCTCTCGAGAGTCGAGGCCTGAACTTGGCGGTGGCGCCACAGGCAGCTACTCGGCGCAACTCGGGTCGGGCCCGCTGGGTGATGGGCAGCGAGCCCCGCGAGCCCGGACGGCCTGGGAGAGCTGGGGGCGGCGCGAGGCTGGGGGCGGGGCAGAGCGGGTGGGGCCGGGCTCTGGCTGCCGGGATGCTGCCCCCCAGGAGACTAGAGATTGACGACCATTGCCCTCCTCCCAGCCTGGAACCCTCGTGCCTTAAAATTTTTTACCCTTTTCTGAATACCGTAGTGTCATCTTTCTTACTTTGTCCGTTCTCCGGATTCGAGAGAGGATTTCCGGAGCCATGTCAGAAGGAGTGGACTTGATTGATATATACGCTGATGAAGAGTTCAACCAGGTGAGAGGAACCAGCAGCAGCTTTGGGTTTCCCTTCATCAGTCTTACTAGCAGTGGTTTCTCTCTCAGCTCAAGATAATTCCCCCTAGTATGGAAGCATTTCCCCCTAGCGGAGGCGTTGAAGACGACTGACCGGTCCTCTTTATGTTAATTTGAACTTCTAGGCTTCAATTTTAAAGGGTTTGCTTTAAGAGCAAATAAAAAGACAAGTGTAATAGAATGGTGAATCAGCCTGTGGAATTTGTTTCCCCAGGTCATTCCAAAGTTGAATGGCTAGCCATAATTAACAATCAAAATTACATTTGTTGCAGTATTGTGAGGATAATTTTGATACTTGTTACCTTGCTGTTTTCTCTGCCTGTGGCTCCAGAATGTTAGCCCCTCCTCCTGCTGTTCCCGTCCCCATGGTGCAGACAGTACAAGAGATAACTTTGAAAGACGTAGTATACTTTAAAGATGGGGTTCCAGCTTCACCAAATGTCTTTAGTCTTTTTAAATAGCTTGACTGTGGTCTTGAGAAGTCTGTGGGCATTTTGGTATAAGTTTTAGTTGTAAACATTACTATTTCTGGAGGGTGGAAGGGAAGTAAAGACCATTGAATAAACTAAAGGCAAGTCCAAGACTAGGTCACGGTAGGTTGAATTTGTGTCGTTGAATTTTTATTACAGTACCAGGCAATTTATACAAATGTCCGTTGAAATAGTAATCTATGCATTGAGTTCTGTGATCTTGAAGTCAAAGCTCAACGGAAGCTTTTTATATAAAACTTTATCTTACCTGTGTTCTTCAGCAAGTTATCCTTGAGCAAGCTGGTTCTTGTCATTGTTGTATTCCAATGGATACACATGAAGACCTGGGAAGAATGGGCTAGAGAAGTGGAATGTATGGGTTGGACCCAGACTCCTATAGGAGGCAACAAAAGAGGCTCATATTCCCCATTATTTTCAGTTTTGTGTGTGTGTGTGTGGGTATATGCATGTGAATGCAGATGTCCAAGGAGCCCAGCAGTTTGGGGTCCATCTGGAGCTGGTGTTACAGATGGTTATGAACTGCCTAATGTGGGTACTAATAACCAAACTCAGCTTCTCTGGATAAACAGAAGGTTTTCTTTCTTCACTGCTGAGTCCTCTCCAGTCTTGCTTTCCTGAGTTTTATGTGTTTGATTGAATCAGTCTTTCACCATTTGAGATTTATGGCTTTGTCATTAATTAACAAGTCTCTTAGTTCTGTATTACTAAAAGAGAGTTTATTTTCCCCCCACCCCCCAATTCTGAATCTGTGTTGTTGACTGCTATTACAACTAACTCACTTTAGAGAAAGATGGCAGAATCCTTGATCATGGGCCATATTTGATCTAAAAGAAAAATTGATGATTGGTTAAGCAATATGACTTGGGGGAGTCATACATAGACAAGACGTCATTCTTGTCTAGTATTCATTATTAACCTCAGTAATTTGTTCCTTAATTGGCCTTGGGGTGGGGGAGGATTTACTGTCTAAAGCCAAAATTAACGTGTGGTCTCTAAGACATATATACCAAAAGGGCAATGTTTGACACAGGGAAAATTGAAAGAATTATAGACTTTGAAGGTCTTATGTTCTGAAAGTTGAGAAGGGGAACTCCACCCCCATAAGTTAATTTTTGGCAAAGCTGGTTTTAGTGTAATCTAGAAGCTGCTTAATGGTTAAAAAGTCTGGGTAGAGTTGTTAAAAGTTGACTTAGATAGCCAGGCAGTGGTGGTGCATGCATTTAAATGCCAGCACTCGGGAGGCAAAGGCAGGCAGATCTCTTGAGATTGAGGCTAGCCTGGTCTACAGAGCAAGTTCCAAGCTACACAGAGAAACCCTGCCTCAAAAAAAAAAAAGAAGAAGAAGAAGGAGAAAGTAGTAGTTGTTGTTGACTTAGGTAGAACGCAATCAGTATAAAATGGGTTTTTGAATGTCTTGGAACAGTTATTGATTTGCCCCAAGCTAACCCTGCATACAACTCCCTCAAGAACACTTTACTCCCAAAGGAAAATTAGCACATTAACTACATGGAACCCTGTATTTGCTTCTGATCTCTGGCCCCATATACTGCAAAAACCTTTTGCAGATACTTTATTGATGTGACATTGGGAGCCCTGGGACTCACACTGCTCTACCGGACTGGAAAAAACTAAAAAGATGGCTGAGAACTGCCACTCTGCTTAATTTTCTGTTTGTTCCTTCTCATGCTGGGATGGGCTTTATAGTATGCTTGATTCTACATCAGGAAGAATTTGAACTACGTCTGTTTACTGGGCACTGTCAAAGGTAGTGAGTTATTGAGAGAGTGAATCTCTGTGCTTGAAAATTGGTGTGATTCCTAATATCTAAAGGTAAAAATGATATTAGCTTGGTGTGGTGATACACATCCATAAATCCAGTGCTCTAAAGACTGGGGCAGTATTGCTACAAATTGGAGGCCAGCTTGGCTACAATGTGAAACTGTTAGAATCCATTCCCCACCCCTTCTCCCAACAACAACAAAAGTTGTAAAATAACAAAATGGATACTAACAATGCAGAATAATAGGCAACAGTGATTGGGGAGAGGTGTAATATGAGAACTATGAAGAAAAAATATATTCAAGTTAGTTACTTCACTGGGCCAGATACCAAGAAAGGGATAGAAGGTAGGAACATTGAGTATATTAGAGGGCAAAATCAAACTCCTAATAGAAAATTTCATGATGTAACTGTAACTGTAGCTTTTTGTGTGTCCTTGAACACAAAATTCTTGCTATTTATTCAATGTTGAATGCATATTTCCAATTTAAACTTATTATAATAAAAATTTTAGCATTACCACCTATAAAATGTGGGTGTGTGTTTGGCTTTTCAAGGCAGGGTTTTTCTGTAGCCACAGTGTCCTGCAACTCACTCTAGACCAGGCTGGCCTCAAACTCAAGATCCTCCTGCCTCTGCCTCCTGAGTGCTGGGGTAGGAGGAATGTACTACCATGTCTAGCTACTGCTCACTTTTTTAAACAGGTTCCATGGTTCAGATAGACCACTGAAACTTGGAACATTTAAATTCATTGGATTTTCTTTCTGAAGTAGTAATATATAGAAACAAGGTCCTCCAGGATTGAGCCTATCTTGTTCTTGTAGAGATTTTAGAAGAGCCCATTGATTGCCTTAAGCTAACAGTATAAAAAGGTTCCCACTGATAGGTTTGCCAAGTTGAAGTCTTCCTATTGGCTCACTGACTTTTTATCTAGCCAGTTTTCAGTGATGACTTTTGTCTTATAACTTTTAGATACATCTCTGAATCAAAGATATTACATAAAAGGAATCCTAGTTTTCTGGCATTGAATATAATCTATAAAATAGTTATTTCTTTATTGTCTGTTAAGTTTCATTTGAAAATATTTCTTGAGGCTGGAGTTAAGAGCACTGGCTGCTCTTCCAAAAGTCCTGAGTTCAATTTCCAGCATTCACATGGTGGCTCATGACCATCTGTAATGAGATGCCTGCAGGCATAATACATACAGACAGAATGTTGTATCCATAATAAATAAATAAATAAATAAATAAATAAATAAATAAATAAATTCTAAAAGAAAAGAAAAAAATCTTTCCCCTTTAAAAAACCTTGGTGGGTTGTATAAAGTCTAGATGCCTTTAATATCTTTAGGGAATTGGTCTCAAAATCTTCCTCTTTAACAAAATAACAAAAAAAAAAAAAAAGCACCTCTTTAACAAGGTGCTTATATCTAAAAAGAAAGTTGCATGGGCCTATAACCCCAGCTACTGAGGAGGCTGAGGTAAAAAGGGATTTCAAATTCAAGACCTGGTCTTAAATTTAAAAAAAAAAAAAAAAAAAAAAAAAAAATCAAAAGATATAGTTCATTGGTAGAAACTTTGCCTTACATGTTCAGAACCACTTGGAGGAGGTGTTTTTGCATACAAAATCTTTATGCATTCCTTCCCCATGCTTTAAAAATATCCAGATAATAACAATGATTATTTCAGCTTTGCTAAGGGTTGAATACAGGACTTGCCTTTTGCTAGGCAAGAACTCTACTCCTGTAGTTTTAATTCTTTTAATTTATTTTTATGCATATGAGTGTTTTGCCAGGTGATGGCATCTGATCCCAAGACTGCAGTTGTGAGTTGCCAGTGGGTGCTGGGAA